GAAGCTCAGATTGCCACTGCCTCTAGGCTGTACCCGTTCCGTGAGCACAGGATTTCTCAAGTCCAGCACGAAACCCACTTTTTAAGCATGAAACATGGAAAAGGAGAAGAAATTCAGGGTAAGCCAGAGGAAGTGACAGCAGCATCCTGGACACAGACTTTCCTGTGAGTAAAGGATCAGCCTTGGACTTTGGCTTTCCGACTAGTCCTTGTTTACCCAGCTCCAGTTCTGAAAGTGCCTGTTCATCGTATAAACATCGAGAGTGCTGGCAAGGCCGAGGGGAAGCAAAGTTCAGCTGCAGGGAATTCGAGAGGAAGGGTGGTACGTCAGCTCTCCTGGCAGCAGCTCAGGTCGTTAAAGCAAACAGTTCTGATCGGCAGCAGGGTGGGAAGGAAAATGGTGGCGGACTCCACCTACCAAAGCCTGGGTTGCTATGTGCTCCTGGCCATAAAAACTGGGGCTGGGCAGAAATCCAAGCCCTCCCCACCAGCCACATTAAAAGCTGCTGACTGACCCCCAACAGTGCACATTCACTACAGCATGTCCAGGGTTGCAGTACCATCACGGAGATTATTATGTCACCAGGTTATACTACAACTGTCTTCCCACGGCGCCACATGAGAAGAGGCTCAGCAAGGGTCTCGCTGAAGGCTCCAAAGCCCCAGCACTCTGGGGCCTTGCCCAGCAGCATAAGCTGAAGGAGGATAGGTTCAGGTGCAGCGTGCTCTGTGGTCGACAGCTAAGCACTCATTTCCCTGTATCCACTCGCTCCTCCTAAAAACTGTACCTGCAGCATGTTCTCAGCTAACTCCCTCCTGTTGACTCAGTCACAGAAGTCAGGTTTCAGACACATCCCAGTACAACGTGCTCCTAACAGAGGGGTTTGTTGCAGAGAGCTCCACTGTGTTGTGGACCATATTTGGGTTTGGCACACAAGCAATATATTTAATCCGTAGGTCAGGTCCGTTTTCTATTGCTTTTTCCCATCTGAAACATGCTAACTCTGGTGCCGTTCCTCTGAGGAGCTCCAAGCACCTCACAAACATTGGTCAACCATCCCACCACCCCTGTAAGGCATGTAGGATTATCCCCATTTTACAAAGGGGAAAACTGAGGCTCAGTTACCCAAAGTCCCACAACACACTAATGGCAAAGCCAGGAACAGAACTTAGGTTTCCTGACTCCTACTCTCCCCACTTTAATCACTAGACTACACACTCTTTCTTCAGAAACATTAATTCTGTTTTCTGTTTTCTTTAAAAGGACTTTATTCTATTTCTGTAGGTTAAATGCTTTCTTTAAGCAGATCTCTCCCTCATAGAGGTGCTTTTCAAAGGTCTGCTCCAATGCACTCGAATGTTTCCATCATACAGCCTTTATTGTCCCCCTTTCAGCTGTGAAATAGCGCTAATCTCACACAGGCAAACTCACAAATGAAGCAAGTTCAGACATTGTCATCCAGAAGTCCCCCTGTACTAAACTTAGGAAACCATATGTGGCTGCCTGTTCTTATCAGAGGGTGTGACCAAGCAACTCCCCAGCCAATCAGAACAAAATTAATTCTGCAGGCATGAAGCAACTGAACTTGTTTATCACTTTGACATCTGGCACCAGAGCAAAAACTTGCAAATCTTAAACTGCCTTCACACAAGGAACTTGTGACACAGACAGCTGCAGCCTCACAGCCCACAGGCTTGGACTAGCTACACTCCCTACAAAGGGTACAGAGCCTGGATTGGAAGAGAACACAGTAGAAGGGCCATGTTGGGTTTTCAACGTGCATTTAGGTTGCTCAATGCAACAGTGAGGAATCAGATTGTTCCCAGAGCAAATATTGTTTCTGGAGCACCAGAGGAGATTGTCACTCCAGCTGTGAGTAACCTTTTGTTTAGGGGAATAGTGATAATCTATTATTGTAAATGTAGCAATTTATTGTCTTCTGGGCACTCAAAATTGATTAAAAATATAGCTGATATCATTGGGATCGCCTAAAATGACAAGTATCTCCTGTGTGTGACAGCAAAAAGGGGCTCTGATGGAAAAGAAAATATAAATAATGCAGCAAGAAAGTTAAATACTGACACATTTTTTTAAGAAAAGGAGAAACTTAAGTAAGTTTTCCTTGGGGTGGGGAAAGGAGAAGCTGCGACTGGTGTTTTTCCATTTGTTGAATTTCATTAGGACGTGAAAGTAAAAGTATAAAGAAAGAGGGAAATGATGAGTTTCACTCAGGAATAAAACCAACCCTTTTCTTACAAATTGCCGATCAGGTCACATGATGGATCAAATTCTGCTCTCAGTGACCGCAGAGAAGTCAATGGGGCTGTATGGCTGTAACTGAAGTTGACTCACTTTGATTCCCAGGGGTTATCTTTCTTTATACTCTACTTTTTTCTCTCCTCAAATGACAGAAAAGGGCCTCTTTTCATCTTGTGGGCAGGGCAGAGACGTTCTGGGTGCGAATGCCCAGCAGGCCTGAGCCTGTAACAGGCCAAACCACAATCCCACTTCTAATCGCAGGGAGAGTGGGATCTAGACCTGCACGGTGTGGCTTGGGCTCAACTCTGCTCCACTCAGTGCCATCACAGAAGCTAGTGCTGCTCCTGATTTTGATAGGAAATGTTCTTTCCCTGCAGAGGCAGTTCCCTGCTTTGTGAACTGCTTTGCATAGTTGGTAAGGTGAAGACCCCAAACAAAGACCTCTGATCCTGCAGAGATCTCCATGGGTGATATTGGAATCAATGGAACATTGCACAGATGCAGGGATCTGCCTACATGGAGTTCACTGAGGGATCGGGGACAAACTGTGTGAACAGAGACAAAAATCTCTCTACTTTTTACTCAACTTGGCATCTACCGGGTTAAAAAAAGAAGCCTCTTTGGAGGCTGTGACAGTGGTTAAGTCAGAATCCATTGTTGGTCAGATCTGTTACACGTACCAGGAAACAGTGGTGATCAGTCACCTGCAGGCTGACTTATGGTGTAACTTTAAACAAACAGACAGTGGCAGAAACTAAACTCTGTTCCTTCCATTAAAATAACCCAGCTCCCTGTTTTGTGGAGCCTGCCAGGAGTGCCATGTTCATAGGTGAACATGGGCGCCTCTTTCTCAACAGGCCAATAATAAAAAGAAACTTTAAAAAAAAAGTCATATGGAAAGAAGTCACTGTCTCATTCTGGCTATAAAAAACATTCCCCTTGTTGGGGACGGGGCAAGAAGGGGTCATACTGCAACCGCCTACCGTTTTAGCTCTAGCTCTGAGATCTAGCAACAGGGCATCTGGGTGTCTCATAAGAGGTTGTGTCGCAGTTTGCTTCACTCTACTCTTGTTTTGTTTGTATTTCTATAGATACCGTCTAACCCCTCCCTCTCTGTCAGATCGCCTCCACGCCTCCAAACAAACCCTCATTTTAGTCAAGCCTTTAAAATAGGAATTTACCCAGTTGAAACTGCATCTGCTACTATCAACGTGTAGCTGTGCAGAATCCCCTGTTGTTTTCCTACTTTTCTCTCCTTTTCCAAGAGATTATGTGTGAGCTGGGGCCCAGGCCTATACTAAACTCAAGAAAGTCCAATCCTGAGATGCTGACTTGCTACTCAGTTCCCCATTCTTTACTCAGGAGCCTCAGAGAAGCCTTGCCAGAGTAAAGTCTAAATAAAAATTGAATAAGAGCCTCAAACTTTGGTCCAAAGTTTTATTCTATTAATATGCTTTGCTCTCAGGAACAGAGCACAAAGGGTTAATGTATTACAGCTGTATGTAGAGTTAACTTAAGACTGTTTGCAGACAGCACAGATAACTTGTTACTAGGTGAAACTTTGTCCAGGCCATTGCTACTGTTCTTGGCACCTCAAAGTGATTTGAAAGTCAGACTGATTGTCACTGTGCCCTTCGGGAATGCATTCCCAGGCCGCAACCTTTTTGCTGAATCTGAGGAGCTGGCGGGCTCATGGCACTGAGCAGTGACCTTGGAAGGCCGAGAGCGAGCAGTTATTGCTGGGCTGCTTTGAATACGTCCTACGCCTGGTACCTTGCCGAGACATTAGACCGAGCCCTGCATGTGTGGGCTGAATTTTATGGCCTGGGATTTCTTGAACTATGGGAACTAACCAAACCAGAACAGGGAAGCTCGGCTCTATGCCAGTAGGTGGAGCTGGGAGGAGTGCTGTTTTTCGAAGCAGGTGCTTATGAACCATGTTGTCCCAAACCAGGTCCCAGCTAATGGCAGGATCTGGGCTAGGGAGCTGGGTTACTTTGATTTCCATGCCCAAAATGAGATGCAGAAATACACAAACATGCAGGGACAAAAATAAATTGACATATCAAACCACATTTAGTCCAGAGCTAGTAGGAATCAGTGCATTTACCCATAGCTCCTCCTCCTCTCCCCATCTTTCTGTGAACCTGGCCCCACGTTCCCTCCATGCCCAAACTTCTGACTGAAGTCAGTAGGAGTTTGGGGTGCACACAGAATCGAGACACACTGGAACCAGCTACACAGTTTGAATCCCTAAATCCCAGCAAGATGTCCCATCTCTATACTGATCCATGACACATGGGAGGCTGCAGAAGACCCTATATGATCTCTGGTTTTTCTCCCATTGGCAGGATCAAGCCATCGCGCTGACTGTGATGTTTGCAACCTTCCTGATCCCCTCAGGCTGGGTTCTGGCACATATGGAGGACTACAAGCGCAAGCCTAGTGAGTGAGAGACAGGAGGAAGCTGCATCCAGCCTAGTTCAGGAGAATGGGAAGAGGAGACTATTGAACGAACCCCTTCATGGCAAACTAACCTTTAAGGATTTTATAATTAAAACACCATGAAAAAC